CACATAATCTCATATTTCTTGGAGGCTTTGTTTGTTTCTTTTCACTCTTTTTTCTCTAATCTTGCTTTTTCATTTTGTTTCATTGGGTTGATATTCAGTCTCTGATATCCTTTCTTCTGCTTGGTTGATTCAGCTATTGAAGCTTGTGTATGCTTCATGAAATTCTCATGTTGTGTTTTTCAGCTCCATCAAGTCATTTATATTCTTCTCTAAGCTGTTTATTCTCATTAGCCTTTCGTCAAACCTTTTTCCAAGGTTCTTAGTTTCATTGCATTGTTTTAGAACATGTTCTTTTAGCTCAGAGAAGTCTGTTATTACCCACTTTCTGAAGCCTGTTTCTGTCAATTTATCATATTCATTGTCCATATAAATTACTTTGGGCAGTATGGCCATTTTCACAATATTGACTCTTCCCAAACATGAGCATGAAGTGATTTTTTATCTGTTTGTGTCTTCTCTTATTTCCTTAAGCAACAGTAGTTCTCCTTGAAGAGGTCCTGTACATCCTTTGTTAGTTGTATTCCTAGGTATTTTACTATCTTTGTGGCAATTGTGAATCACAGTTCATTCTTGATTTGGCTCTCTTTAAGTCTGTTATTGGTGTATAGGAATGCTTGTGATTTCTGCACATTGATTTTGTATCCTGAGACTTTGCCTTGTTCCCTTGCTGGTGAGGAGTTGTGATTCCTTGGAGGAGGATAGGCTCCCCAGTTTTGTGTGTTTTCATCTGTTTTGTGTTGGTTTCTTCCCATCTTTATGGATTCATCTACCTGTGGTCTTCATAGTTGGTAGCTTTTGGGTGGGGTCTTTCAGTGGATGTCCTTTTTGTTGATAATGAAGTTATTTCTTCCCATTTTTTTAGTTTTCCTTCTAACAGTCAGGCCCCTCTGCTGTAGGACTGCTGGAGGTCTGCTCCAGACCCTGCTTGCCTTGGGATCACCTGCAGCGACTGCAGAACAGTAAGGGTTGCTGCCAGTTTCTTCTTCTATCTTTGTCCCAGGATACCCACCAGATGTCAGCCTGATCTCTCCTTAATGAGGTGACTCTTTGGCTATATGGGGGTTGGGGAGATGCTTGAGGAGACAGTCTGTCCCTTATAGGAGCTCAAGTGTTGAGCTGTGAGCTCCATTGTTCCATTCAGAGCTGCTGGGCAGGTACATTTAAGTCTGCTGCAGTGGAACTCATAACTGCCTTTTTTTCCCAGGTGCTCTGTCCTGGGAAGGTGGGGCTTTATAAGTTCCTGATGTGCTGCTGCCTTTTTTTAGAGATGCTCTGACCAGTGAGGAGGTAGCCTAGTCACAGTCTGCCAGCAGAGCCATTCCTGAGCTACCATAGGCTCTGTCCAGCTGCTGTGTGAACTTCCTTGCCATTTTGTTTATAGAAATATAGTTAGAACTGCCTGGCAATTGTGGACTGCCTCAGTAATGGCGAACTGCCTTGGTAATGGTGAACTGTCTCAGTAATGGTGGACTCCCTCTATAATGGTGGACTGCCTTGGTAATGGTGGATGCCCTTCCCCCCACAGAGCTGGACCATCCTGGGTCCAGCTGTGCTTGCTGTGAAACTCTCAATTCAGAGCATTTCAGATTGTTGGTCTTTGTCGGGGTGGAACCTGTCTAGCCAGATCACTTGGCTCCCTGTTTCAGCCCCCTTTTTTCCAGTTGAATGGGCTACTCTGTCTCCCAGGTGTTCCAAGTGCCAGTTGAAATAGCCACCCAGATTTGTGAATTTTTGTGTAGAGACCCACTGTGCCAGCTGAGACAGCCATGCTGGAGAATCATGGTGCTTTTCTGCCTGGGAATCTCCTGGTCTGTGGGCAGCAAAAACTCATTTGGAAATGCAATAATCACTCACCCTTTGTGTTCTTGCTGGGAGCTGCACTCCAGAGCTGTTCCTATTAGGCCATCTTGCATCCAGGACCTCTCTTTGGCCCAATTTTTAATTGGAGTATTTTATCTCTTTCCTATAGAGTTGTTTGAACTCTTTATAGATTTTGAATATGAATCCCTTGTTAGATTGGGGGGCAATATTTGCAAACTACCATTCTGTAGGTTATCTCTTCACTTTGTTGATTGTTTTCTTTTAAAAGAAAACAATTGTTTTTTTCTTAAAATTGTTGATTGTTTTCTTAAAAGCTGTGTAGAAGCTTTTAAACTTCATGTATTCCATTTTTTTTGCTTTGTGCTTTTGTTGCCTATGTTTGTGAAGCATGACTCAAGACATTTTTGCCCAAACCAGTGTCCTGGAGATTTCTCCTAATGTTTTCTTGTAGTAGTTTTATAGTTTGAGGTTTTAGATTTAAATCTGTAGTTCATTTTTATTTAATTTTTGAATATGGTGAGAGATAGGGATCTAGTTCCATTTTTCTGCATACAGATTTCCAGTTTTCCCAGTGCTATTTATTGAAGAGATAATCCTTTCCCCAGTGTATGTTCTTGGCACCTTTGTTGAAAACAAATTTGCTAAACAACAGATATTGGTGAGTTGGAGAAAAATCGGAAAGCTTTTACACTGTTGGTTAGTTCAACCAGTGTGGAAGGTGGTGTGCTGATTCCTCAGAGATCTAGAACCAGAAATACCATTTGACCCAGCAATGCCATTCCTGAATACATATCCAGAGGAATATAAATCATTCTGTTACAAAGATACATGCACTCAGATGTTCATTGCAGCACTATTTACAATAGCAAAGACCTGGGATCAACCCAAATGCCTATCAGTGATAAACTGAAAAAGAAAATGTGGTACATATATACCACACCATGGAATACTATGCCACCATAAAAAGGAACAAGATGATGTTCTTTGCAGGGACTTGAAGCTGGAAGCCATTATCCTCAGCAAACTAATGCAGGAAAAAAACCCCAAACACCACATGTTCTCACTTATAAGTGGGAGCTGAACAATAAGAATTCATGGCATTGGGAGGGAAACAACACACACTGCGACCTGTTGGGGGCTGGGGTGGGAGGAGCGAAAGCATTAGGAAAAATAGCTAATGCATGTTGGGCTTATTACCTAGGTGGTGGGTTGATACGTGCAGCAATCCTCCATGGCATACATGTATCTATGTAACAAACCTGCATATCCTGCACACATACCCCAGAACTTAAAAGAAAAAGAAAATGAATTTAGTATAGGTGTGTGGATCTGTTTCCGAGTCCTCTATTCTATTCCATTGGTCTATGTCTGTTTATAACATAACAATGCTCTTTTAGTTAATATAGCTTTTTAGCATAATTTGAAGTCAAATAATGTGATTCCTCCAGTGTTATTCTTTTGCTTAGGATAGTTTTGGCTATTCTGGGTCTTTTGTGGTTTTATATAAGTTTTAGGATTTTTTTTTTTCCTATTTCTGTGAAGAATCTCCTCGGTATTTGATAGGGATTGAATTAAATCTCCAGATTGCTTTGGGTAGTATGGAGATTTTTACAATATTGAATCTCATAATCCATGAACATGGAACATATTTTTATTTTTTGGTATCCTCATCAATTTCTTTTATCAGTATTTTTTAGTTTTTCCTGTAAATGTCATTCACTTCTTTGGTTAATTCTCAAGTATTTAATTTTACTTGTGGCTATTTTAAATGAGATTATTTTTAGGATTTCTTTTTCAGATTGTTTGCTGTTGCCATATAGAAATGCTACTGATTTTTAATGTTCATTTTGTATCCTGCAACTTTCCTGAATTTGTTTATCAATTCTTATAAACTGATACTGGCATCAGTTTTCTGGTGGAGTCCTCAGGTTTTTCCAAATATGAGATCATATCATCTGCAAATAAGGATAATTTAACTTTTTTCTTTCCCATTTGATGTACTTTATTATTTCTTTTGTCTGATTGCTCTAGCTAGGACTTCCAATACTATGTTGAATAACAGTGGTAAAAGTGAACATCCTTACAAAATCAACATAGAAAATCACTAGCATTTCTATATACCAACAACAGTGAATCCAAGAGCCAAATCAGGAATGCAATCCTATTTAGTTTCCACAAAAGGAATAAAATACCTAGGGATATAGCTAATCAGGGAAGTGAACAATGTTTACCATGAGAACTATAGAACACTACTCAAAGAAATCAGAGATGACACAAACATAGGAAAATATTACATTCTCATTGATAGGAAGAATCAATATTATTCAAATGGCCACTGCCCAAAGGAATTTATAGATTCAATTCTTTTTTAGACAACTACCAATGACATTCTTCATAGTACTAGAAAAAAACTTTAAAAATTCATATGGAAGCAAAAAGAGCCCAAATAGCTGAGGCAATCCTAAGCAAAGAGAACAAAGCTGGAGGCGTTTCTTCTCCGTGTGATTCTGAATTTCTCTGAGTTTCCTCACAAAAGCTATTTTGAATTATTTGTCTGAACAGTAACATATCTCTGTGTTTCCAAAATTAGTCCCTGGTGCCTTATTAGCTCATTTGGTGAGGTCATGTTTTTTTTTTTATTTGTTTACTTTTATTTATTTATTTTTTTATTGCATTTTAGGTTTGGGAGTACATGTGAAGAACATGCAAGATTGTTGCATAGGTACACACATGGCAGCGTGATTTGCTGCCTTCCTCCTCTTGACCTATGTCTGGCATTTCTTCCCATGCTATCTCTTCCCAACTTTCTACCGTCAACTGTCCCTCCCCTATTTCCCCTCAACAGACCCCATTGTGTGATGCTCCCCTCCCTGTGTCCATGTGTTCTCATTGTTCAACACTCACCTATGAATGAGAAGCAGTGTTTGATTTTCTGTTCTTGTGTCAGTTTGCTGAGAATGATGGTTTCCAGGTTCATCCATGTCCCTACAAAGGATATGAACTCATCGTTTTTGATGGCTGCATAATATTTCATGGTGTATATGTGCCACATTTTCCATGTCCAGCAGCCAGAGTAATCAGGCAAGAAAAAGAAATAAAGGGTATTCAAATAGGAAAGGAGGAAGTCAAATTGTCCCTATTTGCAGATGACATGATTTTATATCTAGAAGACCCCGTCATCTCAGCTCAAAATCTCCTGAAACTGATAAGCAATTTCAGCAAAGTCTCAGGATACAAAATCTTCATGAGGTCATGTTTTCCTGGCTTGTCTTCATGCTTGTAGATGTTTGTCTGTGTCTGGATACTGAAGAGTTATTTACTGTAGTCGTCACTGTCTGGGCATGTTTGTACCTGTCCTTCTTGGAAAGGTGCTCCCAGATATTCAAAAGGACTTGGGTGTTGTGATCTAAGCTGTATCTACTTTAAGGGCACCCCAAACCTAGTAAACCTTTTGTTCTTCCAGATTCAGAGAGGTAGCACCTTGATGGTCTTGGACAAGATCTGGGAGAATTCTCAGAATCAACAGGCAGAGACTCTTGTTCTCTTCCCATTCCTTTCTCCAAATCAAATAGAATTTCTTTCTTTGCTCTGAGCTACCTGAAGCTGGGGGTGGAATGTCACAAGCAACCTGTGACCACCACCATTGTGACTGTGCTATGTTAGACCTGAAGCCAGCACAATACTGGTCTTGCCCAAGGACTGCTCAAACCAACTCCCTGGCTGCTGTTTATGTTTGCTCAAGAGTCTGAGATTTTACAATCAGCAGGTGACAAAGCCAGCTATCCTTGTGTCCTTTCCTTCAGGGTCACAAGTTCCCTCAGGCCCTGGATAAGTCCAGAGGTGCTGTTCAGGAGACAGAGACTAGAGGAAAAATCCTTAGATGTCAACCTTGTGTTCTATTGCACTGCAGCTGAACTGGCAGTCAAACCACCAGATGCAGTCCTTCCCATTCTTCCCTCCCCTTTCCAAAGACAAAGAAACCTCAGCCTGTGGCCGTCACTTCCACAGCCCCAAAGGGAATACTGCCAGACTACCACTCATGTTCCTTTAAGGCTCAAGAGCTCTTCAGTCTGCTTCTGGTGAGTGCTGCCTGGCCTGGGATGCACCCTTCACGGCAGGTCCAGAAATGTCATCCAAGAGCCAAGTCTTATAATTGGAGATCCCAATAATCCACGTGGTGCTCTACCGCTCTATGCCCAAGCTGGTACCTAAGGTGCAAGACAAAGTCCCCTTTACTTTTCCCTCTACTTTTATTAAGCAGAAGTAGTTTTCCTCCCACTTTAATTAAGTAGAAGGAAAAGACTCTTTTTCTTCTTTTCCCATAGCCACAACATCTGGGAATCTGTTGTCTCACCTGAGGGCAGTAAGTCCCCAAATCTCATTCAAGTTCTTCAACATAATACCTGGGTATCACTGCTTATTATTCAGGGCCCAAGGGCTCTTCAGTTAGCAGGCGATGAATGGTGCCAGGACTCAGTCCTTCTATTTAAGGTAGCAGGTTTCCTTCTGGCCCAAAGTGTGTCTAGGAATGTTATCAAGCAGTTTGGGAATGTAAAGTGGGCCTCATACCTCTGACTGGTGCCCTATCCTTGTGGCTGAGCTGGCATTCAGGATGCAAGACAAAGTCCTACCTACTATTCCCACTCCTCTCCTCAAGCAGAAGAAATGGGTCTCTTTTGGAGCTATGAGCTGTGCAGCCTGGGGTTAGGGGAGGGATGATGCCAACAATCCCTTAGCCTCCTTGGCTGAGATATGTCAAGTGTCCCGCAGTCCTCTGACTCTTGGCCCAGTTTGTCACTAGGACTCACATAGGTGTTGCAGCCTAGACTGCCTTTCAAATTTATTTACAGCCCAGAGAGCACTTTAGCCCATGGTGATGAGGCTTGTGGGAACTCAAGTACTGTCCGCTGGATTAACAATTTTCCCCCAGCTAAGGCTTGTTTAAATACTCCCTCCACAGGTGGGCGTAGGCTGAGTTTGGTCCACTTTTCATTTCTTTTCTGTTATAACAGGACAGCACTGAGTTCAATGCCTCATGATTGCTGTGCTTTCTCTACCTCAGTACACAGAAACCTCTCTGGACCACTCTGGCGCTGCTGCCAGGGGATGGGAAAAGGATGGTGTCAGTGATTCAAGACTGTTTTTCTACCTTTTCTGTGCCTGCTTCAGCAATATGAAGTTAAAATCAGATACCGTGAGTGTTCCCCTAATTTTGGACTCTAATGAAGGTGCTGTGTATGTGTGTGTGTGTGTGGATGTGTGTACATAGTTGTTAAATTGGTGTCCTCGCAGGGGAAATGATTGGCAGACCCTTCTGTGTCACCACCTTGTTCCACCTCCCCACTCCTCATCTTTATCTTTCCTTGTTTATTTTTCATAGCAAAATTATCTTCTAATATACCAAATAATTTCCTTACTTTTAAGTATTCTATATTTCCACTCACCTGTCACAAGCATTACAAATGTAGCAATGTTTGTATGTTTTGTATAACAGAACGGTGTCTGGCCTGTAGGAAGTTTTCAGATATTTTCTAATGGATTCATTCATTTATTCCAAAATATTTTACTGGATGCAGTGTGTTATGCAGTGCTCTTACTGTATTTTCATGTGCTGCATTTTCTGTAGTGCTATAGCTCATGTAAGTATTTACAATTATTTTAATAGTGATCTTTCAGGATTATTATGTGTAGTCTGTGAGTTGTTAGATATAATGTACATAGGACAATCTTGGTACATACCAAGTGATATATAAATGTGAATTTTACTTTTGGAGGGAAAAGGAATTGCTTTCTATAATAAATATGGTCTAGGTTGGAAATAGGTTTTCTAGGCTGGAAAGAAATGTAAATACTATTATTCCTTGGCTTTTTTGAATACAGAAGCTCAGAAGTGCTCTTTTAAAATAATTTCACATGCACCATTTTATGGAATATAGTAGAATATATGTAATGTAACCATTGCTATATTATATGATTAAAAAAAGGCTTTATGTGAGACAAATGGGAGTGGGTTGGTAGAAGAATAAATACACTTAGTGGGGTCATTTAATTTTCAAGTAAGTGTATTTTTAGATTTCGGTACATTTTAAATTTCTTTCTGAAGGACCAGCATTAGTATATTTATCCTACAGCATTGTATTTACAAATAGAGAGTACATTCTTTTAAAAATTAGAGAGATTTGATCTTCACTTGAAAATTCAGTATAGCCTATACTAATCCAAATAAAATAAGGAATATGATTATTAATGGGATTGCAAATAAAAATCATTTCTTAAATTTCTGCTGAGATTTAAATAAACTCTAGGACAGAATAAAAGCTGATACAAAATTAAATTAAAACTATCAGTGAGTGTATACATGTAAGTATATGAGCATATATATATTTCCATTTTCTTCTTTTTATAAGTCTATGTATGTATCTGTTTATTTACTTGTGTATTATTGCTTAGGTATTTCCTTAGTCTTCTGTTTCTACTTGACCAGTGTGTTGTTAATAACTTTTTTCAAAAGCCATCTTTATTTTCTCACAATTTTTAAAATTTGGTACATTTTGACTTTCATTACTTTTTACCTTATGTTTTATGTATATCAAGCTCAAATTATTTTCACCCCTTCAACTTGCCACAAGTGAATTTTTAATGTTTCATTATTTCTACTTGGAATTCTTAATAATGCTTTATTTATTTATTATGTTTTCTATTTCTCTCACCATTTTTCATCTCTACCAAAGTAAAGGTTACTTCATTTTGTCTCACTTTTGCAGTGATCTTTTGTTTGACTGGTATACCCTTTCTTCTCTTCTTCATCCAGCAAACCTCTACTTGTCCTTCATAACTCACCTCAGGTAAATGCCACCTTCCCTGGGGGGTCCTTATTGACCAGATAGGAATAGGTGGTCCTTCTCTCTGCTTCTGCACCAACCAGTGCATATGCCTATATTCACATTTATTTTTTATCTGCTTGTCTTTTACTTGACATCCTTGACAGTGGGATTCTTTTGTTTGCCTCTGATTTATAAAATCTCTGTGCATCTCCTGGAGCAAAGTAGATAACTCCATACCTTTATTTTGAAGATCCTTGATAAAAAAATTTGCATTAAAAAAACTTATAGGTGGGAAAATGCTTTCTTTTGAAGATACTTAAATTCAAATTGTTTAGAAGTATTTGAAATCATCCTGAAATCTTAAAAAATGCCAAGCATTACAAAACAAGCATTTGGCCAAAGTGTATTTTTTACAGATATCAAAGTAATTTCAAGACGTTAACAAGAAGTTTTTGTATGCCAGTAAGGCACTGTGTCATGTGATTTTCCCAAATGTATTCTCATTTTTGTTCTTACAACAACCTTGCCAATATAATTCTCATGTTTATAGAAATAGATACTGAGTAAAAAATAATATCCTTCTTTACCTCTTTAGAAACTAATAATGATTTTCCATCACTTATCTGTTCCTCTTTGGTATTTACATTCTTAGTGAATGGCACCTGTCTTCAGCTGGTTGTTTCAGTTAGGAACCACGGTGCCATTAGTGACTGACAGTCTTCTCTCTCCCCACCTACAGCCCATCATAAAGTCCTGTTGACATACCTTCCTCACAATAGAATCCATATACTTGTCTCTATTAATGTGGCTTCTCAATTAGTCCAGGATGCTTTCATTGCTGACCTGAGCCTACCAGTTTCCTACCGGGCCTCCTTGCCTCCAGCCTACCTGCAATTCAATTTGATTTCTACCAATCCTCTTGCAATGAGAGGAATCTTTGTGTAGTTGTGCCACTGTCCCTCTAAAAATATTTCCATTACTTTCATATGTTCTCAGAATAAAATAAAAATTCCTTCCTTATCTGGATCTTTCTTTTTCTCCTTCTTCATGAATCACTGTTCTGCAGTTCGCTCAGTTCTCCAGTCAGATGGATGTTTTGTTCTCCTGAGCTCTCTTGCTCTCCTCCCTCCTCGCTTCTTTCCAGGACTGTATGTGTTTTATGTGGCCACAGAACATTTTGTCTGCACACCTTCCTGTTGTTATCTCATGTTTCTGAGACCTGCTCATCCTCTTAGTCCTTATTCTAGAGATTCTGCCCCTGTAAGACACTTTCATGCTCAATGCTTATTTTGCTCTCAACACATTCATTTTCATGCAGATGAGATGTGCTTCCTCTGTGCTTCTTTGGCATCTTTTGCTTTATCTATAATAATACTTACCACAGTAAATTGCTTCTGCTTATTTCTCTGTGTCCCAAGGGCTGGGCCAGTGTCTCGTGCATTGTTATAGTACAATTATTTAATGCTGGGCTTGCTACACATTAGGAGGCATGCAAATAAAGATTTGCTAGATTAATGAACAAGATTTCAATCCCATCTGAAAAAAAGACATTGCCGTATCGCTGTAAACGTTTTTGTTTGAGTATCTCTTGGGACAAAATTCAAATGTTAATGTCAAATATTTTAATAAAATTATTAAAGCTAATATGTTTGTTTCTATTTTTCTTTAAAAAGGGGTTGTTAGCTTTGTATTGCTCCCATGGACTTAATAGTTGGGCATTTCAGGAACCAAGACTTTAGTGTAGTATACTAAGGAATGTATAAAGAAGAATAGTAGCCTTAATTATACAGAGTCTAGGTCAGTTTCTTACATTGAAGTAGAGAGGAGTAACTCCATGGAATTTTTATAAATTAAAAGTTAAAAAGGGTATCTAAAACACATATGAGACACAGTGACTGCGAGACTCAGATTTGCTTAAAAACATAGGAAGAGTAGAATAAGCTAAAAAATAATTATAAATCTGGCAGTCCTAAGAGAAACAAAGAAATAAGGAAAGAAAAGGAAGGATGACACGTCCTTTAGCTGAAGGAGGAAAGGAATTCTTTTGGGGAGAAGGATTAAGATACATGTTCATGTACTTAGGTACATAGGGCGAAGAAAATATATTATCCTTAGACCCAGAGTTTGCCCAGGACCATGAAAAAATAGAGGAATGTCTTAAAAGTTGCAGATAGGGAGTCAATACAAGAGCACTTATGGAGTCGTCTTTAGCTGACTGGAAAGGCTCCACTAGTGATTATAGAAAATTTGGACAGGCTTGAGATGGCTAAGCTGGAAATTTCAGCACCAACCTGGGACATTATTTGATGAATTTCGGGGTGACTACAGTAATTGCAGGTAGGGGAGTGTATATTTTTAAGTCTGTTGGGGAAACATTGCCATGACCTTACTAGATATTTGACTCTGTGAGAATGCATATGAATTATGAGGCACATTAAAAGTGAGTCAGGCGAGATCAGTATAGACAAATAAAGCATTAGATTACAAATTATACTGATGGAAGGCTATTTACTGTGTGGAATCATCCTGCTCAAGAAGTTGAAGGAAGCTACAATGTATTTGAACAATACATTGTAGCTCATAGCATACTTGATGATTTTTTATATCTCACGGTTGTAGAGGACTCCATAAGGCAGAATCTAGAGTTAAAAAGAACAAATTTGAGAGCTAGAAATAATGAAAAGGATATTAAACCAGTATCAACCAGAAAAGAGTATTATTGTTACTACTTCTTGGGATAGAGAGGAAACAGGTACAACTTAAGGATCATGTGAATTGTTGAAACTAGCTTAAAAAAAATGAGGGGACTGTAGAGAGAGGTGGAATGCTGGAGATACATGCCATTGTTACAGGAAACAAGATAGTAGAAAGAGGAATTTCTGCTTCCAAATCTGGGAGTGTTCTTTGTGAGGGTGAAATGGACTTTGTGACAGGGAGCTAGATGAAGGAGTCTTGAGAAGCTGATGTTCAGGAGTTGTCACAGGGCCTAGTAAGCTCACTTTAATATCTGGTGTCTGTAGTGTTGAAAAGGCATTTGAGTTTGCAATGACATGTAGGGGGTCAGTGTACTCTTGCATCACCACGATGAACTGACACCAATACTCCAGGGACAAGGAAAGCAGGTGCTCAACCACCTTAGGTTGATGCTTAATGTTTTGTAACATTGTCACTGCGTCTGGATTGGGCACAACAGGGGCCACTATTGTAGGGCCAGAGACTTTAGCCTGATTGGCAACATTCATTGTAGTATGTGGACTCTGAGCCACTCTCTGAATCAACCTAGGATGACAAGGCAACTTTTTTGCTTCTCCAATGCTCAAGTAGTCATATATGCCTGTTACTTCCCAGCATTGACTGACTATAAGAAAGGACACACCTGTACTCTTTTCAGCCTCCTGTATTCATTACTATTTTTAGCATTCTCCAGGCTTTTAATCAAATTTAATTGTGTATGAGGGTTTTATTAAAACTATATATATCTCCCCTTCCTTCTCCTCAAGTCATATAATATCAGTACCTTGTGCTGGTCATTGTTGGGAGCTTTTAGATGAGAGATCTTTCCAGGGATAGAAGGATTAGTAGTGATTCTTTTTGGGGAAGGGAGTTATTATCCCTTTGGCTTAAAGACAAATGCTGCTCATGAAATGAATGATCTGTCTCTAGTTTCATTTAGAACTAATTTCCATGAGACGATGACAGAAAGCCTGCCTATCTGAAAAGATTGGCTTGTCTCAGGGTGGGAAGTGGAAGGGCCAGGCAAAGAAAGGACTAGACCAGAGAATTTATGATGCCTCCTTCTAAGTTCTCAGTCCCCATTATGAACTGAGCTATAACATGGAGCTTTCATGAAAATGGGTTACATTGAGGACAGAACTAATGATAGGAGTGTGAGTAGCTTTCATTTGAATATTTAGGTCTTAATGGTGTTGAGTGGCACAACCTTGTAAATGTGAAAGTACAACTTGTATTTATCTCTAATGTGCCGCCGGCTGAACTTTGGGCTCATTTGGGGTCAAGGCCACTTTTTCTTTTAAAATTGAATTCATTCTGATGCTTGACCCCCATACCCCAAACCTTGTCCAGTGGAGCCCAACTTCTAAAAGTCAATATGTCATCCTTAGGCATCCCAACTAACTATAAAGAGTCAGCTATAAGGGAAGGTTGTGAATGTTTTAGGTGGTAAGAAAAGCCGCAGTCATTTTTCTTTCCACTTTGGATGCTGAAATTTTCCCATGGAACATAGCCACATCTAGATAGATGTGAGCTTTTTCTTCTCTTAAAATTATTCTTAATTCCTGTAAAAATGGTTTTCGTCTATGGAATGTTTGACTTCATATTGACCTCTATCTGTAAAACACCTATTTGGGATAATATTTGGAAAACAGTAAATAACTTTTTCCAAAAAAAAAAAAAAAAGAGTTTTTTACTGCAAATGAGTTGGGACAGGTTAAAAAAAGTTTGGGAAGTTAAAACTAATGAAAAACAAATAAACTAATGAAAAACTTTGGGGACAAAAATATATCAGATGTGAAACACAGACAGTCTTATGTGGTCAGAAGATTTTAAAACATAGAAATTCGAGATGATTATCTAGTGGTGCAAATGTGGGGATCACAGATAACATTTGGCTTTGAATGAGGATTAGTAGGCTCAAGGATTTCTAGACCAGGAAGTAGTAACATCTGCTGTTTTGATGCAGGAGTCTTTCTGAGGATATGACGCCAAGAAAAACAGATGACTTAGAATGTGGGAAATGCAAGATATGCAATTCGCTTGGAGGAAAGTGGAAGGTACTCTATTTGCAACAGAGAGTGGAAGCTGCTAATGTGCCAAGAAATTTATAACTTACAAGTTAAGTTGTCCATATATGAAGTAGACATCAAAGGATACAATAAAGCTGTGGTGTATATTTTGAATTCTATCATTGTCAACCTTGTGAATTTCTAAAATTTAACTAAGATACAAATGTTTAGATTCTATTCCTCCAGAGAAGACGAAAGATGGTTGGAGGATTTTCTCCCTTTGGATGTGGAGCACCAGTGTCACAATTACTTTCTTGAGAGGATACTTCTCCCAACTGTGTTTACATCACAGGTCGTGGGCATTATATACTGACAAGAATTCACCAGGCTCTTGGCAAGACATAAAAAAAATCATTTTTTCTTTTATGCTCTGTTGTATCTTTCTACACTTAGTAACAACTATTCTCCAATAACACGAGGTTTCTGCTCTCTGATTTACTTGACCAGCAAAGCAATGTGGGTCTCATTGTAATACATGCTTTGTTCTAACAGTATTATTTTTGTGGGGTAGATGTGTTAGCATTAAGATACTGATTTTTCTTAGACTAGGGTTTAATGTTATAGTAAAAGGCAAAGGAATGCTGGATTGATGAAACTTGTTTCTTGGAGTATAGGGAAAATTAAAAAATAAACTATTAGGAAAAATAAGTACAATCTTGCGGTCTATGATTCTAAAAGCAAATTGTTGCTATGAGGGATAAGAGATTCAAAAAATAAGTTTCTACTTTAAATTCCTGAAAAAATATCAATCACTGTAAAAAGAGAGGGCCTGTAGAAGTTATTTATAACTATAGTAGATAATCTTTGATAAATCTAATAGACACGTGTGCACATGGAAGAAAGGCCTATGAATAAAGATGAAAGATATAAACGCTGTTTTTTAGAGTAGTTAGAGCTGAGGATAAACTAAAATTCACACAGTTGCTAGAGAAATATTAAACTTCTAAGTTGTATTTTGAAGAGCATGGGGCAGACAACTCTTCTGCTGAACATTACGGAATACTCATAGATGAGTTAGAATAGAGAACTTTAATTTTACATGAAGAAGAGAAATACTAAAATTGGAAAGGGCAGGTCATAGTGTGTTATGGAGAAACTGAAATCTCAGGAAGGAGAGGAGGGAGCATCTACTTTCTTTCAGTAACTTCAGGTCTGCAGGCCCCAAGGAAGTACATTCCAGAGATCTGAAAAGATTTTAAGATGATGACTCACCCCAATTAGCAATTCTCTGTTGTTTTTCAGTTTGTGAGAAACAGAATAGGAAACAAATTATGAATAAATGTTTTCCTGTCTTTCTAAAAGAGGAACACTAGATTTTGTAAGATAGGTGAGCTTGACATGGATTGTTATCATGATAAAATTATTAAAATAATTGGTTTGAACAATTAGAAGGAAGTGATGAAGAGTCATGAGTTTTCCAACAACAATTTATTTTACAAATTTGTTTAGTTTTTTGTTCATTTATTCTCAGCACATGGTTATTGAACATCAGACTGTCTCAGGCATTGTTTTGAATGTTTTTGGGAGAGCAGGGAAGAGACAAGTGGGGAAACGCGATAAACAGATAAAATAATGTTTTAGGTTACTTTATCTGTTTATCGCGTTTCCCCACTTGTCATAATATGTGAAGATAATCACATATTATGGTACTTCTTATGAAGAAAATAAGCTGGGTAGAGAATACATTGGTGAGAGGATAAGATAGGGTGGTTAGATAATGACCTTTTTTTTTTTTTTTTTTTTGAGATGGATTCTTGCTCTGTTGCCCAGGTTGGAGTACAGTGGCTCCATCTCGGCTCATTGCAATCTCTCCTTCCTGGGTTCAAGTGATTCTCCTGCCTCAGCCTCCCAAGTACCTGGGACTACAGGTGAGCACCACCACGTCTGGCTTATTTTTGTATTTTTACTAGAGACAGGGTTTCACCATGTTGGCCAGGCTGGTATTGAACTTCTCTTTTTTTTTTTTGAGGTGGAGTGTCACTCTGTTGCCCAGGATGGAGTGCAGTGGTGCAATCTTGGTTCACTGTAACCTCTGCATTTCCATTTCAAGTGATCTGCCCACCTCTGCCTCCCAAAATGCTGGGATTACAGGTGTGAGCTACCACACCTGTCCCAGGAAATGATTTCCTGAGGAGATAAATTTGAGCTGATCTAAGAGAATGAGAAGGAGCAAGCCATGTAATGACAAAGGGAATTTGAATTTTATTCCAAGAGGTTTGAGAAGTCATGAATGTTTCAAGTAAGAAAGTAATATGACATGATTTATATAACATTTTGTACAGAATAAGTTCCGGGGTAGGGCTGGAGAAGAATGGAGGCAGGAAAACCAGATAGAAGGTCATTATAAAGGCTTATGTGAGAAGTAATGGTTGTTTAGACTAAGGTAATGGCATGTACAAAAAGAAAAGTGATGGCTTAAACATATATATTGGAGATAGAACAAAGAAGTTCAGGTGAGTGATAGGAAACAAAGACATCAGGGGTAGCTTTTAGTCTTTTGGCCTGAGGAACTAATTGAACAATGACACAATTTCTTATGATGGAGGAAGACAGGGAGAATCAGGTTTGTTGGGAACAGGAGGCAGGAGAGGACTCAAGAGTTGGATAATGTAAATTAGAGAAGTCCATTAGATATTTGGGTAGAGATATCAAGTGGGCAGTTGTATGTAAGAGTCTGAAACTCAGGAGAAAGCTCATGACTAAAGATGCACATTTGGAATACAAATGAAACATATATTTGGGAGCACATTTGTTTCCCATTTTGTTTCTTACAAAATGAAGAACAACAGAGAATTGATAATTGGGGTGAGTCATCATATTAAAATCTTTTCAGATCTCTTGGGGCCTGCAGACCCAAATTTACTGAAAGAAAGTAGATGCTCCCTATCTCCTCACCTTCCTCAGCTTTCAGTTTCTCCACAACACACTATGATCTGCCCTTTCTAATTTTAGTATTTCTCTTCTTCTTGTAAAATTGAAGTTCGATTAGAATTGAGTCTGAGATGTGTTTATGGAAATGACTGTGACAAGTTAGACAGGAGAGCTCAGGATGTATCCAGTTTTTGGAAGTTGGGGAATAAGGACACTAAAAAGGTATGGCTGGGAAGAAAAAGGCAAATCAGGAAAGGTGGAGGCATGGAAGCTAAGCGAAGGGTGTTTATCAAGAGGAAGGCATAGTCAGTTGTCAACGGCTGCTGATATATTGAGTAAGAAGACAGGGAAAAATCCATCATTGTTTGCACTTAGGCTGTGGAACTCATCTCCTTTTGCTCTTCAGGGACCTCTCTTATGCATTATGAATTTCTGTCAGAATCCTCAGCATTCAAACATGCCATAATATCACTCACCAAGAAGAAAAAATAACCCTTAAATGTTTGTTCTTCTCAGCTACTTCCATTTATCATTGATTATTTTTTATAGCATATTTTATTAGAATTAATTGCACAATTGGTCCTTCATTCCCACCATTCTGTTGAACTGGCTATCATTATGGTCTCAAATGACTTACACTTTGGCATATAGATTGAAGAATTCTCTGTCGTTAAAGTCAACAACAATATTTAATATTCTTAAAACATTTCTCTTTGCTTTCTTAATACCATGTTATCCAGGTTTTTCTCCGATCTCATTGGTTTTTCCTCTTTGCATCTTTTGCTGGTATCTTCTCATCTTTCTCATCTCTAAATTTGGAGTGCTTAAGCTAAGTCCTGGGCCTTTGTCCTTATATATCACCTGTAATGCAGCCTAAATATGTATTTTTAACCCTAACTTTTTTTGCTAAACTCCACAATCAATTTTCTTCAACACTTAAACCTAGATTTCCAACCATCATCTCAAAATTATCATGTCTAAAACAGAACACTTAACTTCCTGACTTTCCAAATCTGCATAAAATCTTGGCCTCATTGGACTTTCCCATTTCAATTAAAATCTCCACCATTCATCTCTTTGATTAAGCCAAAAATTTTCGAGTTGTTTCTAAGTCACCAGTAAGGTATCTTGGCTTTTCTTCAAAATATTCCCTGAATTTTATTATTTATAAATGATTTATATTTTACAAATTTGTCCAAGCTAAGCTCATGTTCTCATGTAACTAGACCATAATGTCTTCCTGTTTTATCCTTTTTTCTCTTCTATTGCTATTCTCTATTTCTCATAAAGTAGCTGGACTGGACTTATAAAAGGAAAAACTGAGTCATGTAACTTTCTTGGTCTAACACTAGGACAACCATATGTTCTGTTTGCTCCATACAGTCCCAGTTTATCGCTATTATTCTGGTGTAATTACCAATAGTGTTACTTTTACTCTTAAAATAATCATATGGTTAATCAGATATATGGTTTCCCTACCTAAAACCATCTAATAATGGCTGTGCATTACAAATAGGATAAAACCCACCCTTCTTACCATGGCCCATAAGATCATATATGTCCTCGCATGCCTTTTTGTGCTCTCCTGTTACAGTTTCCTGTGTGGTTCACTGTGTTTACATTTCTTCTATTAATAACATTTGGGTTTTTTCCTAGTTGTTTTCTCTGCCTTAGATGTTCTTCCTCAGGTGGACATCATCAGGTAGACAACTCCTCATCAGTTTGGGCTCTCTTTATTTTTTGAGACGGAGTTTCGCTCTTGTTACTGAGGCTGGAGGGCAATGGTGCGATCTCGGCTCACCGCAACCTCCACCTCCTGGGTTCAGGCAATTCTCCTGCCTCAACCTCCTGAGTAACTGGGATTACAGGCACGCGCCACCGTGCCCAGCTAATTTTTGTATTTTTAGTAGAGACGGGGTTTCACCTTGTTGACCAGCATAGTCTCAATCTCTTGACCTCGTGATCCACCCTCCTCGGCCTCCCAAAGTGCTGGGATTACAGGCGTGAGCCACCGCGCCCGGCCAGTTTGGGCTCTCTTAATTTCTTCTCTTCAAAGAGAATTTCTGTGATCATTTAATCTAAATTAGTGTCCTCCATTTACTTTCTATTCCCACACTGTTTTTATTTTTTCTCATAGTACTTAGAATTGCACAAAATGATTTGCTTACACTTAAACTCTTATCTCCCCCACTAGAATGTAAGTTCCATAAAGACAGTGACTTTGCTTTGTTCACTGCTGTATTCCCAGTTCTTAGAATAGTTCTTAGAATATTGCCCACTTGATAGGTATGCAGTACATTCTTTTTTTAAATTTTTTATTGGATTATAGGTTTTGGGGTACATGAGCAGAGCATGCAAGACAGTTGCGTAGGTACACACATGGCAGTGTGCTTTGCTTTTCTTCTCCCCTTCACCCACATTTGGCATTTCTCCCCAGGCTATCCCTCCCCACCTCCCCCTCCCACTGGCCCTCCCCTTTTCCCCCCAATAGATCCCAGTGTTTAGTACTCCCCTTTCTATGTCCATGTGTTCTCATTTTTCATCACCCACCTATGAGTGAGAATATGTGGTGTTTCATTTTCTGTTCTTGTGTCAGTTTGCTGAGGATGATGTTCTCCAGATTCATCCATGTCCCTACAAATGACACAAACTCATCATTTCTGATTGCTGCATAATATTCCATGGTGTATATGTGCCACATTTTTCCAATCCAGTCTATTATCAATGGGCATTTGGGTTGATTCCAGGTCTTTGCTATTGTAAACAGTGCTGCAATGAACATTCGTGTACATGTGTCCTTATAGTAGAACGATTTATAGTCTTTTGGATATATACCCAGTAATGGGATTGCTGGGTCAAATGGAATTTCTATTTCTAAGGCCTTGAGGAATCGCCACACTGTCTTCCACAATGGTTGAACTAATTTACCCTCCCACCAAGAGTGTAGAAGTGTTCCTTTTTCTCCACATCCTCTCCAGCATCTGTTGTCTCCAGATTTTTTAATGATCGCCATTCTAACTGGCATGAGATGGTATCTCAATGTGGTTTTGATTTGCATCTCTCTGATGACCAGTGACGATGAGCATTTTTTCATATGCTTGTTGGCCTCATATATGTCTTCTTTCGTAAAGTATCTGTTCATATCCTTTGCACACTTTTGAATGGGCTTGTTTGTTTTTTTCCTGTAAATCTGTTTGAGTTCTTTGTAAATTCTGGATATCAGCCCTTTGTCAGATGGGTAGACTGCGAAAATTTTTT